TGCCTGTCATTATATGCGATGTTGCCGTGGTAACGGCCTTAATCCAAAAATTGACAACCAAAAAATAAGCTTTATTTTAACAGTACCCATACTGGTAAAACTCTACAGGGAAAACTTTAAGAGAAGTTAATTAAGTTTCCTTTTCTAACACGCGCTCTATAGGGTGATCATAAATACTCTAGGAAGCCACGTTAAGGTCATTCCCCAGTATTGCACTGCGCATCCTTACTGCGCATAATTTATGGCGTCATTAGCGCGCGTTCGTGCACGCGCACATTGAAAACATGGCGGATTTGTCTTGACATTGAGTTCTGTCAGTTGGAAAATGGCTACAGCTCACTAACGAGCTTGGGCACCCCAAATTTTTTTCTAGTCATTTTAATCAACTAATCATTAGCTCTGCATGAGAAAAGACTGATCTGATTTCTATTGTTGGAAATTGAATAAATAAGGAAAATAACAGCTGTACTGTAGTCTTTTTTATTTTGCAAATTGATAGCCGTGGCAAGCAATTTGGTTCCAATATTTTAACAAGGAATCAGCTGTCTGTCAAAATCAAACTTAAAAAGTTTATTTGTGTCCGACACAAGTATTGACTGTAGTTTGAGGTGTTTTCATGAATCTGGGCTCACAAAGAGTTTACAATAACTTGGAATGCGTTCTTAATATAAGCATTAAATAACGCTTAAATGGGACATTTTCAATGCCTCACTGTTCCTTAACTAGCATGGGCGATCCCCTTTTTTATTTTGTAATTAAAGTTCTCATATGATAAATTTTCAATGGACAAAGTTTGAACAAAAATCTATGTGCAGTTTTATTTCAGGGGAATTATACCTTAACAATTATTCCACGAGCGCGCCTTGGACATGAGATGATAGATAACCAACAAGGCGTGTAGCGTGTGTTTATAACAAAAATTGCAAGTAGCTTCAAATTAATAAAGATTAATAAAATACAAAAAATAATAATSCAGATGATCCAGTTTTTAATAAATGCCTATACAGCAGAGCTTACACAGAGCTACATTGATGCTCTTGCCCCTTTTTATGAGGATATTGATTCCGTTTTCTCTTCTGTTTTTTCCTAGCAAAGTTCTTTACCTCTTCTGGTATGTCAGCGGCCGGTGATGGACAAAACACTGACCCCCAGTCCATGGACTACCTCAATGGACTACTCTAAAATGGACTAGCCCTGAAAATACTGTTCTAAATGAGTACTATTTTACTAAGATTACACTATGGTCTTTAAAAGACCATAGTGTAATCTTAGTTTCTGCTGGACATGAGTAGACAATATTGTGATGACTTAGCCTACTAATAGGCTATGAGCTCATATCCTGCAGTAGAAATGATGTTAAGTTCTTATAATTCACTCAGATGTTGTTTATAATAATAACACAATATCATATCACAGTCCTGTTGTACGTGAACTGATCGCCAACTCAGTACCACTTTTTTTTCAATCCATTCTTAATAAGGTAATGTACGTCTGAAGAAATTTCACTCCATGGAAAAGTATTAAGAAATTACAGCAAACATGATTCACATCAGAGACAGATTACAAATTTGTGGGGTGGGGTGGGGAGTGTGAAGGTGGATGCAGTTTAGAATCAAGAAGTTAAAAATTGGTTTACCCAGATCCAGCGCGTTATGATATATCAATCTTCTACCTAACGCGAAAGAAAGCATCTTCTTC